GTGTTCGACGTAGTCTAGTCTAGCTCAACTTTTATTAAATAGTTTTCGACCGTTCTTTTAATCTCAGTTTTCAATTTTCTTGTTTATACCTTCTATATATTTATCCGCTCATTCCATCACGTTTACTTCCTGACTAGTAAATTTATATTTTACTACAAGTTTCTTTTTATTACCAACCATGTTTATAATACAAGATTCTCGAACCTGTACTCCTTTCACACCTATTTACAACTTTTCAACGCCACCTGACGGGCTCCCCGACGTCATAAAATACAGCTGCTGCTGCCCAGAGGGTGTCAGTACAACAACGAATTAATAAACTATTCCTATTGTTCTAAAATCTCACTATTCAAAATACAAGGGTGAATCGAGCAAAATGAAAACAATTACACTACATGGAGGAATATTAAGGAAACTGCTTATTGAATATTTTCCTCGGTTCTCACGGAAGCCGATGAATTATTTTTATGGCGCCAGGAACGCATTCTGGCCCGTTACGGCCGCAGTCAACGTGTTAAAAGCTACCTGCTAACGTTGGGAAAGCGGGCTCAGATGGTTGCGCGTGAATGTCGTTAACGTGTTTAAGACAAGCCGTGGCTCGTTCCGATAAGGTGTAGCGACGCGGTAAGAGGTCTAGCTGCATCGAGTGGAGAGAGACAGAGGGAGTCGTGCGGAGGTGTCGGGACGCAGACGGGTCTCGGGTCGGGAGGAGGGCTGGACAGCCTCCGATAAAGGGTCGTGCACCCCGAGTGGCACGCGTGCCCGCCGCTCTATCCCCGTGTATCTGATTTGCTGCGCCTGAACCGCGGGACCGACGCGCTGCGAATCGAATGTTTACGAGTGACGTGCTCGCAGCAATGCGTCGAGAGTAAATCGACCAAATTGATCGATCGAAACGAAAAGGATCGCGTGAACTGCCTTCGAATAGAAGATCAATTGATTCAAGTAGGACTGCTACTTTGTTTATTTTTAAATAATTCATGATTCTAACAGTTTCTCATCTATTAGATCGAGTTTGTTCTACTTGCTACACTATCAAGATGGGATTTATCAGTACAACAGTATTCGTTAAGACTCTCGATCGCGACTAAACCTGCGTCCAATTTTTTTGTGATTTCGAGTGATTCCTAATTGAAGCCGTTCATTGGACAAATCGATTTAATTTCACTTTTTAAAAAATTTTAGATTTAAGTGTCAAAGCACTTGGTAGAATCGTTACTTTTTTTTATTAATAATAACTCGACCGAATAATAAAGATGAACACCATTAATATAATTTTGGCCATTGAAAAATAAATAATTTATTACAGAAACCATTTCATCGCATTTCTCAACCTTTTGTTTTATGGAGTTAATCGATTTGTGGAATGAACAGCACAATTTTACCGTAAACAATCTGTTCTCATGGCTAAAAAAAAAAAGGAAAAGAAAAGAAAAAGGGAAGACACATGCAATAGTAAATGAGGTATGAAAATTTCTGATTCAGATCTAACTCCTTTTCATATACTTCATACATGTAAAATAGAAATGCATGGCTGTTACACATATGTGACACTAGTCCTTCACAAGAATCGACGCATCGCGGACATGTCACATATGTTGACGAGCGCATCAACATAATTTTTTCTTGTGTTCCACGTGGGAAAGTTTTCCAAGTTAAATATTTTCCTTCTCTTATCAAAATCAAAATAACTAACTAGTACTTCAACTATCTTATTCTCGCACAAAATTCAACCTAAAAGTCCCGAAACTCGAGATATCCCCCTGATGCGTTTTTTTCAATGAAAAACGGTAAAACGTTAATGCAATAATTCTTTATCATGTTTTTCGTGATTCCTAGCACCGTATGCTTGGTGTTCTTTCAATTTTGCATCACGTTAATCGTAGTTCCAACCGACTGGATGAAAGTACTCGTGCAACGCACGTCACAGCGGGAACATGCTCGCGGGTCGGGTAACTGAAACGCGCGATAATGCTCGAAACAAAGAAATACCATTTTCATATCGGCACTCACTGTCGGTTGGGTCTACTAACGCGACATTCGTGCCGCTAATCGTTCAGTTTTTCCTAATCTTTTTATGCGAACCTCCTGGCAAACTACCGAGAACAAAGACACGGAGCGCTTCTCCGCGGTTCTCGAAAGTTTCCAAAGAAAAAATTATTCCTCGTTCTGGATCAGCTGGTGGACTGATCGATAAAGTTATTCCAACAAATGTTGGACGTTACGAACAGTGTTCTGTATCCTGTATGCGTCTAAGTAACTTCAAATTTTACGTTTTCGATGTGTTCGTAAGAAATCAAAAGTTATCAAAGGAAAATTCTTAATTTCTATTTTAAGAATTCAAGTTTCACTAGCCACAAGAAACACAAAATAAAATAAAATCTGCAAAAACAAATTTGTAACCTTGTAGGCGAGATTCCCGAACTGATTACAACATCACAGAAATTTCTTATTATAGTTATCTTTTTTAGATTTTGAGACTCCACTAGTCCGTCCTGTGATAGGGTTTATCTACTAGAGCACTATACAATTACGGTTGATGCGACCGTTGGAACGATAACTGTAAAGTCTGTACGGTTGTTGTGCAACTTGTCGTGGCGGCCTGATTATGTTGCATGGCAGCGGTATTGTACCTGCACTGTTGGTTTGACGAACGACACACACGCTAGAACGTGTGTGGCTGTTCAATGTCTAGTTGGAAAGATTCTCTGTGCGATTTCAGTCTCGTAACAGGAACGTCGAAGTAAAAGCATAATTACTTTCTTGATTAAGATTAAAATGGATATAAATATATAACTTCATCTAACAATAATTCACAACTGCCATGCAAACTCACTATTGATTAATCGAATTGGTTATTTCAGACCACTTGTGTAACATTTTTTATGGTTTTGAGTTAGATTTCATTTCTCATGTATACAGGGTGTCCCAGCCTAAGTACTACAGAGCTCTAACTCCAAAACTATCGGCCGAATGCAAAATTTCAAATATGGAAATTGCATTGTAAAATGGGGCTCATGTCTCAGCGCGAAGGAATATTTGTTACCTTTGTTATTTTACGTGATATGATGGTCAAGTTTCGTTTCGTCAAATAAAACTATATATTTTTTTTTTATACCATGCGATAGTACTTTTCAAGACGAATTCATTAAGCTTCAATGTATATACTTCATTATATGGGCCCAGAATATTAGGATTCTTCCCATTTTCCTTCGTTGGGCCTGGAATCCCAAACGAGACCCTCCGTATCGATTTTAAGAACCGCATGGTGCCTTACTGCATCAATGGGACCGCCCGGGGCCGAACCGAAATTTTCCCTTGAAAATTAGCAAACTTTGAAGCGTTATAGCTTGAAAACTAATAAAAATCGAGTAAATACATTAAAGCTTAATGAATTGAAAAGTACTATCGCATGGTATAAAGAAAATATACAGGGTGTTCCAAAAATCGGGGAGGAGCCGGAAATGGGGGGTAGCTGAGACGATTCTGAACAACAATTTCCTTTGCAAAAATGTCGGATGGGGCTTCGTTAAGGAGATATTAAGAGAAAACCCCGACCAATCAGAGCGCGTGTAGACCGTTGGAGCGGCCGCGGTAGCGAAGGAAACGCGTTGGCGGCCGCGCTTGTACGCGAACAAGTGACTCGACGTGCATCGAAGGACATTGACGCTGCCGCCTAGCGCGTAGCCTTCGCTACCGCGGCCGCTCGAACGGTCTACGCGCGCTCTGATTGGTCGAGGTTTCCTCTTAATATCTCCTTAACGAAGCCCCATCCGACATTTTTGCAGAGGAAATTGTTGTTCAGAATCGTCAGCTACCCCCCATTTCCGGCTCCTCCCCGACTTTTGGGACACCCTGTATAGTTCCATTTGAAAAACGAAACTTGACCACCATATCTTGTTAAATAACAAAGTTAACAAAAATTCCTTCTCGCTGAGACATGAGCCCCATTCTACAATGCAATTTCCATATTTGAAATTTTGCATTCGGCCGATAGTTTTGGAGTTAGAGCTCTGTAGCACTTTGGCTGGGACACCTTGTGTGTCTCTCAGATACCCAACCCCCTGCTTCCAGGCCATTTTCATTTCTTTTGCCCGTAGTTTCGCCCGAGTAGCCCCGACCACCGGTGTAATATGATCCGAACCGATTGATACGCTTCTGTCGAGTGTTTTTCTTTCTCGGACCTCTTTCTCCTTTCACTATCTGTCCTTGTCTACGTTCGATGCTCGACTCGAGTCAAGTGTAAACACATAAAAACACTCGAGTGCAATGTTTTGGGTCTCCGATTTTGCATGCCTCCTTCAGTCATTACTGTAACTTCTAATGTTTTGCCAACAAACTTCGAGTGTAGAGAAGGACAGCGAACGAAGAAGAGGACGGAACGACATGCGAAAATGGCGACCAACGCCGGGATTATTTCGGTGAGACATGTAGTAAAAAAAGATGCGAATTACGTCGTCTTTGGTCTCGTTTTAGTCAGAAAAATGTCAGGAATATGATGGTAACAGTTTCACGGCAAAAACGGTAATAATAAAAAAAGTTTGATTGTTGGATTAGCATTGTCTCATCGAGATATCCGGATCATGTTACTATCCATTTATCGTAGAGAAACTTGTGCATTTAAAGAGACTAATTATATACACCTGTATAATACACCTCGCAAAAATTAAATAAACTGTGGTAGCCAATATAATGTAGACATTTTCAAATGAAACCATAGACTCTTCTCTTTCCAGAAGCAACATTGATAGAATACAATGCTATCTTTTATGTTTTTCAAGAATTGGAAATCGTCACATATGTCGTGTATAAAATAACCGATTCAATCGCCAGGCATGTAATATCTGGTCGTTTAATGAAACGTCCACGAATGTCGTTTCTCAATCGCGTCGATTATACCGGTTGCCTGTTAGACGCTAAATAATGTAAGTTCTCGCAACCTTGAAGACCCAACGCGGGGAACGAGAAAATCGAGGTACGAATCAGCGATATGCACTCACCATCTCTGGACATGCCGAGGCGTAGGCACTTTTGCAACCGACAGTATTGGCACCGGTTTCTGTTTACACGGTCGACCACGCAATTCTTGCTCCGCGGACATTGATAGTTGACGACCGACGACTGGGACCGCCTGAAGAAGCCTTTGCAACCCTCGCAGGTGATCACGCCATAATGGACGCCGCTGCTCTTGTCGCCGCACACCTTGCACGGGATTATTTCGATCTGGGCTGAAAGCACAAAGAAACAAATTCGCGGTTAGGATAAGGCAGATTGGTACACCTGATACGATAATTGCTAGGACGACGCTGCTGTTTCAGATCGCATCGGGAATCTGGACGTTCTCAGCCAGTGTCAATGGTCAAGCTAATCACCTGTGACTTGGGCCTGCCGAAGAAATTGCTGAAGATTGCACGGTATTCGCACATGTTCAGCTTTTATCGGTAACGTTGATTGATTGTGATTTCAAGCCGCTACATAGTAATTTCTTTAGACGATATTTATTTTTATGACTCCTGGTAAGTGAAACGCTGTTAGCACCATCAGCGTCAGCTGTCGATAAACGATACTATCAACTTCAGCACTTCCAATTTAGTACTCTACGCTCTGAGAATTCTTTTTCAAACAAATTTTTGCCTACTAAAATTCACGAAATTGATTTGTTTATTCCTCCCATTAAGAACGCCAAGTGCAAAAATGACCAACACCATCCTTAAGAATTATTTCATTAGATTCGCTACCTTAATCTGCCTATACATTTACTATTTTTAACTGACTTCGAGAAAGAAGGAGGTTACTCGATTCGATATATATGTGTATATTTTGTTCAGTACAAACTTCAAGCAACTCGGGAAGAAAATTGTGGTGAACAAAAGTTTACAAATACTTCCAATTTTAATTCTATCCATTTATTTCCAATTAGCGAACTTCTCTCGCGATTGAACGCGAGAAATAGCATCGCTCGATATCGATGCTATTTTCGCGATACCTGCACGGAACACGAAATATCAGTCGCGGTTATTTTTAGATTGGACCATGCGCGTTTTCACGAAGACGAGCGTTTGTTGACTGTTCCATCATTTCCCGATAGCAGACGGTATCGGGGAGGAAAAACGGATTGTCTAGCGTTTTATATACTGGCCACCTTATTTCTGGCTCGTCAAAGTTCATCACACCATTCGTAGTTCGCACATTGTATATTTATGGATAACCTTTCGATTGGAAGACAATACTAGACGGGTCTATTCCGATGCAACCGTGGCTGCGTTTAAATGCATCCGTGAGGGGTCCGTGTTAGAGTTCCACCAGAGATTTCGTATCGCCGTAATGCGGCGAGATAAGAGGGAGGCGATAAATTCGCCGCCATTTCTACTGGAAAATCAAGGCGAAAAAGAAGCGAGCCTCTTCATGCCATAAATACGGATCGAATAGAAAGACGCCTTTCATAGAGATGTCTACTGCGACGCCTGGCTAGACTTTCTAGACTCTGGACACTTCGATAGTCTCTACAAGAAATCCCTGTGTTGCTTCGAAGAGGTGAAATGTAATTTAGAATTCTTTCAACGGTATTTTGTTTCTTCCTTTATACGAGGAGTGCTATTTTTGTAAAAATAAAATCACTTCCACTGGATACAATTATTTTGGAGTAGTTCGAGTTTCTTGGATTTACTTTGACGTTCTCTTCTTTAAAAATACAAGGAGGTCGGAGTTTATTTCAGATGAGATCTTTTCAATTTGAGAAATGACGCTGCGGTTGGATGAAGAGTAATCTTGGTTCTATCCATGGAACTTGTCGAGGCTGACATGATGAATACATATATTTGATGCATCAAGGGATGCATTAAGTATTATTTATAGCACATTCAGGAAACAATTTTTACTGATAGAAGAATTCATTTAAATATCAATTTTCATCTACAACGATGCTATACTTCCGAGGAAAAATAATTTGCTACATGGACGTCAAACAAAAAGTGAATATTCTCTTTGGAGGAACACTGAGCCTTACCATCCAACATAATGTTACCTATAATTGTTCACGTAACACAAAGTAAACATAATTTAACTTGAAAGAGAAGAATGTATAAATTGACACCAATTGCCATGGGAACAGTACTAAGATTAAATATACAACGCTTTCTGGTGTTCAGTTTCGTCAGACCGTCGTGTACCTCGTATGGAATTGACTTGCAATCTTCGATCGTCCAAGAGGGTGTTTTCTGGACTCGGAGTCTGCACTGGCAGCCTGGTCCTCGACGTTTCCGGTGGCTGAGGGCTCGTGCTGTCCGCCCCCCAACTTGGCCCACCGAATGTTGAGAGACTTCCCTCCATTTACGTTCCACACTCCCGTGTTTCATTTAAGATTCACGTTCTCGAACACATTGCGGCGACTTCTTGCCCTCACGTTGGCTCTAACGACCCATTGATCACTCGAAACAGTTCACATTACACTTCTGTTTCATTGTCCACTGATGAAGAAGTTTCAAAAGTCCTTCGTTAAGAACACCAGTCGAGAGTTTGCGTAGCTCGGTCGCGGATACTCATCGAATGGATTTAACAGCTAGTTCGATCGATCTCGAGATCGCGGGTCGAATGGAACACCGTGGTTAACGGAGTTTGAACACGCTGCACACCGTGTCCCGTGAAGGAGACGGGATTGGATGTCCCCTGGAGATGCGGGAAGTTTCTCTTCCGCGGTCTAAAGAGGATCGTTCGTCGAAGAAAATTAGTGTCGACACGTAACCGATTCTCGCTCGTTCGACGGAGCTGCATGAGCGCAATTTATTAGAGTCTGCTTTCTCAAGTATATATATCACGTCGCGAGTCGCTTTTCCCGAAATGCTGCGAAAAAAGAAATTGTCCTCAGAGGATTGCACACATTTACGTTGGACACTAAACGGCGCTAATAAAGTCACACTTTTCTCGAAATATTATTAATTCTTTAACGGATTTTTGCGGCCTGATATTTATATTATTCCTTGAATTTAATTTTTTTTTTTTTTATCGAGTCATTGTGAATCTACAAAAATAGAAGACATGTTCATCTCGTCACTGATACAATGAGTTAATGATTACTACGAGGAAACTTTTTCGGTCCCCCGATGCTCGTTATAGTCGGGTTCGCCCGTTTTCTGTTATGTTTTCGTTACGTCTGACGCGTTTGTTTGAATTCGAGTTTAGTATGCTCGTAATATGGATACTGCAGGCCATAAAAAAGAAAGACAATTTTACGATTTATTATCAGCTCCTTAGACGGGGATTTTAAACGATCTCTACTCTATAAGGCTCGATGCAAAGAGAAAAAATAACCAACGTATGGAAATTAAATTTTAATCAGAATTGTTCAAGTAATAAAGCCAGATTATTTTATTATTGAGATGTCACATATAACCGTCTGTAAACACCAAGAGATACTGTTTGACAAATGATAACAAACATATCAGTTTTAAAGCTGTATACTCTACATTCAACACATTATTAATTTACTATTGAAAATTGTATTACCATCGTACAACTGAAAATCTATTATAATTGACCCACGTGCAGGAGCGAGAGTTAAAAAGACTGGGCAGTCAAACTGCTCCAAAATACTCTTTCAACACTTTCAATCTAACTAACAAAATATTTTAAATAATATGTAAGATATATAAACACACCGTAGAAGGAAAAATCGGGACTTGTATTCATTCTTTTTTTTAATTGACTCTCAAAGAGAACTTAATTGTCAACAACTCGACAGTCTTGTCCTTTTAAGGGGTTGAAACGCAGAAACAGAAGATTGCTTCTAGAACCGAACTTCCCGAATTCGTTTCTCTTCGAAGTAACTTCCAGTCGAACCTATTTATACATCCTGTAACCTGGATTTCGACCAAGAATACACCCCAATCCCTGCGAAGCTACCCTAAATCAATCCGAGCTTATGCCCCGCGCGACGAATAACATCATCGGTGAAAAGCACGCGACAAATTCCGTCTCGAGTTGAAATCTCCGTCGCTCATCGATCACTCTCATCTCTGGTGGATCTGGCGCGCGGTTAGCAATCAAAATAATCCACCCCCGGGCGACGCGAGGGGCGGGGACCGCCGCGAAACGTCGGAAAACGCGTGGAAACGAACGGAGCAGCGGAAAACGGGCAAGAAAAAGAAAGACAGGGGAAAGGAGAGGAAGAGAAGAAATGCGGCTGCTGCAGTGGCTCTCTCCCGTTGCCCTCTATTTTTGTTCTCAGCTCGGTAATGCACTGTCTACAGGCTGTGTCAAAACTGGCGGTTCAAGTTTCGGGTACGTGTAAAAGTGTGTAATGCATAGTGGAGTCTCTCATTTTTTTTTTTAAATCTTCAAAGGAGGACCTTTTTTTGTGATCTGAAAAATCTATTTCGTGTCATTGTAGCTTTCATCCCCTTGTATGGTACATAACGACAGGAGCAAAAGTGTGCACGTGGATCTGAACACAATTCGACTAAACATTGGGCTGTCTTCAAGAGGAGTGCTATAAATGAAAATGGCATGCAGGAAAGTGATAAGTGATAAGTGATGAAGTTTATTCAACTCACAAGTAAGAGTTGATTAGATTCGTAAAGTAATAGCGTAACTCCCTAAAAACTCTTCGTAATACTCTATAGCAACAAAAATAAACAAAAAGACACACATCTCATCTGTGCAGTAAGAGAAACACAACAAAAATGCACACTTGCAGCATACATTCAAAACGGAGCTTTAACACGGCCTGTATTTGCAAAGGCGCTAGAACGAGAGGGAAGACAAAGGGTGCCCGATGGAACGGGACGAAGATCGAGCTTGCCAGAGCAAGAGAAACGATGCACGCGCGCTATCCGACGCTCGTCTACGCGCGCAGCTCACACAGGCGGACGAGGCTACCGTATCAGAGCGAGGATTCGGTGCGGGCCGTGTCTGTGCAGCATGCTTCTCTCGTCCGACAACTCTAGCGCCACGAGTAGCGTCGAGGCGCTTGCACCATACGGTCGAACATTACATAACCGAGAACGATGAACCCAGAGTACAGTCACCCGGCACGCTCGCATCTTTGACGTGCGTCATGCCGCTGCCTCGAGTAGAGTGCAGAGCGCCGGCTACTATACCCGGAGCTCCCGAAATCGAAGCCACTTTGCGCCGTGGTTGCGCTTTGTTCAGTCCCAACACTATCAAGCCGTCACGAACGTGTGCGTACGTGCTCGCTTAGCGAAAACCAGCTCCGATACATGCACGGTCGGCG